ATCATCTCAATTGAGATATCTGTGAGTTGTGAGAGACACGATTATGTAGGACAGATCCCACTCTACTGATATTTGTAAAATAAAAAGCATATAAATTTTGCACGAATGGATATGAAAGACAACACGTTGGAATTATAGGTCACATAGTCCGTTCTTCGGGCTGTATCTTGCGGCAAAACTTATCAGCCGACGTTACGCCTGAAAACGTACGAAACAATTGGTCAAAAGTAACAGACATGACTTCGGCAAGGCGATTCGAGTCGATCCAGGTAAGAGAGCGTATGCCTGTGTACATTTGCCTGACGATTTCTCATCTTGTGATCCTCATTTAGGAAGTAACAGGAGAACTGTTGGGCATGATAGAGAACATGAAAGGCAACGCTCCTTCAAACGAGGCAAGTTACACTCTGTAAATTGTTTTCCTGATTGTAGAACTTCTTGTTCTTATCATTTCCACTGTTTACAGGTGGACCATGTCATCAGGAATACTTATAACATTCGCGATACTATATTATACGCGCTCGGAGGTACGTTGAACAAAGTGAATACACGATCGAGTCGTGTTAACTCATCAGATTTTGTATTTCAGTCGGAGCTACGGTTCAAGATTCAACTGATATGCGTTATTTGTACGAGAATGCCGATGAATTTGCCGTTTTGCCTACTTTCTACGTTTTGTACGGACCTGTAGGATGCATGACCTCGTCTATCGTGCAAGACGCTCTTCCATCTGGACAAATTGATCCGACACAGGTGTGATCTCTTTAATCCTAGTATTAGTTTATTTAACATTGCCAAGTTTACACGTTTGCAAATATGTTACATTGATATTTGCAGTTCCTTCACGGCGAACAATATCTAGAAGTTTATAAGCAATTGCCTACAGAAGCCACGGTGGAGACACGCTTTAAAGTTCAGGATGTCATGGACAAAGGGACAGGCGCCGTTGTCTTAGTTCAACGTATGTAAATGCATATCATTCGTGGTACGATATTTATCTCATTAGTAAAATATCTGTAACTTGGGTGTGTATAATCTCAAAAAATATTTACGCGTATGTTTA